GGTTGTCTTAGAATTTTGTGTTCGTCAGTACATTGTTAGTGCAGATAAGACAGACAACGCCGAGCTAACTGAACGAAAGCTTTATCTAACGAAGAACGTTGTATTCTGCTAGGACAGTACAGTATAGTACATACAAGACTCCGCGAGCTGATGACAAATGAAGAATATTCTTTCACAAGAATCTAGCTCCCAGGTAAGCATTAGTTCGAAATTATGCGAATTATTTGTTTATCGTACTGTCAACGTTGAAGAACTCGTTATACTGTACTTTAAATAAAGTGGGTGGTTTAAAATATAGTCATGGACAAAGTTTAAACAAAGTACGATTTGTGACATACCGGTACAATACTTAGGCTATGTTTTCTGTTCATAATTATAAATGCTTTGTTCGAAATTATTAGTTAAAATGAAAATAAAATAAATTTATGAATAGATATCTTGCTTAAAAATGAATTATTCTATAAAAAATTAATATTGTAAGATTACGTGATGGAATTATGAATAAAATAAAATAGGGGAACAAAATGGATACTTTGGAAAGGATACTTAGGATAGAGAAAAGACAGTGTTCGTGTCTAAAACATCCTCTCACTCACAGCCAATAGGTCAAGGGAACTATTCCGCATTTTTTTCCCCTTAATCAGCGTAATTTTAAAATTCAGTACATATTTGAAATCGGAACACAATCTCTAAAATCAGTATGTCTGGTCACTCACTATTTTAGAACTTCTTTAATTAAGCCTTGAAGAAAGCTTAACATAAAAGCTAAAAACTTATATAAACATAATTGCAGTATAATTCCTTATATTGATGGTTGCTGAACCAGGTCAAATGACGCTCCTGCACACACTATTTAACAGCCTTTTTACAAACATATAACAATAACGAATTCTTTATGAATTTTAACGTAATTTATATTCGATGATAACGCGATAAATCTATAATATTATACATATAATACATAATTAAATTAATATATATATATATATATATTCACAGTAGATTGCTTTTATCGGCTCCTCCTAACAGATACAAAACATACAATCATATAGAAATACATAAAATATGTAGCTTATATATAAACTTAAAATACTCTTCACCTTACTCTGATCTCAAGAAAACAAATTTTGTAACGTCCTATACTATTAACAATTCTTCACTATTCAAATAATGAGGAATTGTTAATAGTGAAGAATAGAAGAATTATTCAAATTAAAAAATGATGTCAACGACATCATCATAATCAACAAATAATATCGCCATGATGTGTACGTTTGAAAGTATTTTATGATTGCTGCTCTTTTTTCATACTTTGGGATAACTAAGAGGAAATATTTGATCTAACCCATCCACGAAAATCTCTGAGCCAACCCGGACTCAAACCAGAGTTCCACAGAGCAGGAGATTCATATTTTTACTTCCTCCAACGTTTAGCTATTCTGTGTTACTATTTGAATAATTCAGATCTACTATACAAATGTTTTACGAATTTTTGATATTCACAAGGAATGGACATTTACTGGTCAGAGACAAAGGCGAAAAAGCCAAATCTGGTCTTTCCGAAATACATTTTAAAAAACATGTTAACACAAATATTCAGGTGCATGGCCAACACATTAAAGAGATATTTCGACAAAACTGTCGATAAATCTCAACTTTTGCAGTGAGATTTCTGTGTTTACAATCGTTCGACTATTTTCAGTTCTTAGCACCAAGATTTCAAAATTTCATACGGTACGCATTTTTTCAAATACGGATATTTGTCATGAGGGCCCGGATCATTGAAAACACCATTAGCATTTTGCTTCAAATTAGTCTCTGCAAGAAATATGAAGAAAACGAATATTCTACTCTTGCATTTATGAAGTATTTCTGCCTTTATCATTGTTTGCTTGTTCAAACCCTTTTTGTGAATCAATAAAACTTTATCAATAGATTCTAATAATCGAGATATTATCATATAGCATTTTTTAAAAACATTTTTTATTCAGCAGGCCCAATTGTTTTAAAATTCCTTCCGCCCTGTAGGCCTCTTTTAGCAAGCCAATTATGGGTTCGGCTAGGCCCACAACGGGGCGACCGGGTAGTGAGGGAAGGCCCCAACATACCCAATATGTCGGGCCTCGTCCCTCACCTCTTTATAGACGTGGAGAAAACTCGGAAAACATGTGGCCAGCCCGTCCTAGCGAGGCGCGAACACACGACCGAACTCCCAGTGTTTAGGGAACGGAACCGCTTAGTCACTGGTGTGCCTGGGTTGCTACATATATGAGAGGGAAAAAAAGGAATTTTCACTCACAATTTTATATAAATTTATGTAATATTGTGAATGAAATTTTATTTCCCTCTCCTCTTAACATGAATAACTTATTTCTCTGTTAAAGATTTCTTTTATTGTAATTTAAATATCAGTTATGTAAATTCGAATATTAAATAAATTATGAAGAAATGAAGAAAATATAAATTATAGATTACAATTATGAGATGTCATTATTATTAGATATAATCCTCCTTCGGAATAAAAAATAAAGAAAATATTATATTTTTTACAAATTGAACTAAAACGCTAAATTATTTCTTTTCTTTAAAGTATAATTTATCATTTTATTGACCAATAAAATGCAAATACAAAATAATCTACATTATATAAATACATTCGAAAGTATTCTTTATAAGAATTAATATATAATTTTTCTTATTTTGTAATTTTAGATTTATTTATTATTACACCAGATATTTATTATTTGCACTCCTATAAGAAGTATATTTACTGTATTACTTTTTAAATAATATATATTTATTCTTTATCTATTTTTTTACTGTTACTCTTGATGCTCATATAATTGTTATTTCAAAGGATTTTACAAATAATACATAAATGCATTGTTCGAATGATTTAAAATTGTTCCTATGTTAAAGACCAGTGATGACTTCCGTAACTGGGGTGATATAACTTGCTGACGTTAAAAGTACCTGTGTTGTGACGTCATTGCAGGCTATTCAATACCTGAAATGAAGAGATGGAAGAAAAATAAAGCATGCTACAAAAAAAAAAATATATATATATATATATATACAAATAATTACAGCAACATATAAGGTTGCTGTAATTGAAGAATATTTAATAAAGAATAAATGAGGAATTCTGATCCTTTATGAAGGAAAAAATAAATAAATAAAGGATAATTACGTGAAAAATTCTTCTTTTGTTTACCAGCTGAATATTTTTAGATTTTGTACAAATAATAATAATAATAATATCTACTTAATTAATGCCTATTATAAAAAGTTTTCAATACATTTATTGATTGAGATTTATCTTAAAAGAAAACAGCAACGTGATGTCTTCAAGGTCAGTAGAACTGTTTAACCAATTTTCTAAGGTTATCTTTGTTTCAATATTATCATCATTTTAAATACTATAGAGAATAAAGAGATCCACAACAAGAAATTCAGCATCATAAATATGCTCAAAATTTAATAAAATTAATTAACACTCTTAGCAGAATTACATTTATAAAAGAAGTATCTTCTGTAAGAAAATTTCTTTAAAATAAAAATTTTTAAGTTTATGAGTATTAAAAATTCTAGGATTCAATCTCCGTATACATTCACAGCATGTACTATATAAAAGTCACTTTTGTTAAATGGAGAGAAACGAAATTTCTTATGTTCGATCACAATAATAATAAATAATAATAATAATAATAATAATACTTATTGTCACTGCTCAAGAAAAAAAAGTAAAGGCTCCCCCCTGTTATTACTTCATCCCAACATAATACTAGCGAGTGTCATTGCTGACGCAACTAAGTGGATTAGCCATGGGTAGGCCTATATATTGAAAGGCACATGCACAAGCAACGTGAACAGCACCAGAAACGTGCCCAGTCATAAACATGACCTTCTTTCTTATACAAGGAAGATAAGTTCTAATCTTCTTTTTAACTTCTAACTTATAGATAGATGATTTTCTTTTTTTTTTTTAATATTTTTTTCTCTTCTAAATAAAATTTTTAATTTAGTTTTCTTTATTTTTTGTATAAATTATTATAATTTTTTTTCTTTTAATTCGAATTTTAATTGCGTAACTTCGTGTTTTAATACGCTCGTGTATATGACTCGAATTTATTGAGATTCCGCTAAGTGGTATGAAATAATCGTTAAAAAAAAAAAAAAAAAAGGTTTTGGTTGATGAAGCGTGATGTTCTGCAGAATCGTCATGGCAACCGGATACAGAGCTACTCACGTGTCACGGTGCGTGAAACCTTCCATTGCACAGCGTTGAGGAGATTAGTTGCTTTCTGTTGGTGAGTGGTTCCGTCTATTCTGATCTCTAATAACAATTTAGAAATTGTTTAGTAAATTTAAAGAAAGAAAGAAAAAAAGTAAATGCATTTTCTTTGTAATTTATAGTTTTTTTCTTTTTTTTTTAAATTTAATTTTTAAATTATTATTTAAGATATTTTTTATGCTTTAAATTTATAGAAAATTGAAGTTTTAACACTTCTCTAATGTAATTTTGTATTGTATTTTTTGAGATTTATTTTAATAATATTTGATTGCAAAAAAAAAAAATGTAATTTTTGCTGATGAATTTTTAGCATTTATTTAAGGAAGAATGGAATTTTTGTTGAGTACTAATTTAGTATTTATTCTTTTTATAAGTAGGTGAATAGATAGTATATTCGTTTGTTTATTTGTAAAATATGTCGCTTAGTACTTATTAATGTTCTTGATTATCACTTTGCTTTATCTATTGAATGCTAACTTAATTTAAAATTTGCACAAGAGCATAGTTTTAATACGAAATTAATAATTGTATACATTTTTAATTTCGTAAAGCATAGAATTTCAAGTATAAAAAAATTAATTTTTATAATAATCAAATTTTCTATTCATAATTTTTAATAAGTATTAATTAATTGTTAATTAATTTGTGTATGCATTCTGTATTTATAAGTTTAAATTTTTAATTTTAAAATGGAATGTTTGAAATGAGAGCATTAAATCACGAATATAAAATTATAATTACGCTCACTTGTCATTGGAGTTTGTCACTGGATATAAATTTGAATAACAAGTGAATGAAATATTTGAATATTTGTAAGCAAATTGCTCAAAATATAATTATTCGGTGAATACAGAATATTTATACATCAATATAAATATTTATCATTGAATTAAGTATATAAAAAAAAAGTATTTATTACGTATTTTAGCTTAAATTGAGAGAAATCGTTAAGATTTAATTCGAAATTATATATTATAAATTCCGAAATGATTAGAAATATATACTATACAATAAGAATAATACTGTATAGAATTAAAACACTTATATATAATATTCTATCAAGATAAAAATTTTATATAAGAATCACTTTTAAAACTAGAAGAAAATTTTACAAGTTTTATATAATGTGAGAAGAAATTGATTGAAAGAAATGAATCTGAAATCCTTTTTCCTCTATTATGTGATTTCTAAATTATTTCTTTTATTGTCGATTTCTTTAGATTTAATTCTCCTAGTCATTCTGATCGTTTTATAACCTTCGACAATCGTAAAATGTTAAGAAAAACTATGGAAACATGCACTGAGTATCTGTGTAACTATCAAGAAAACCGAAAGGATATGAATACTGTCATTTATAGTATTTTATTTATTTAAATCTTTCCATTCTGAAAGCACTAAGATGGATAATGAATGATTGTTATCCAAAGTTCTCACGGATATTTTAACACGAGTATAGTTATATATCCGCGCTCATTTGTTAATATAAAAAGACTTAAGTGTAGATATTTACAACACAAAAAAAAAACACAATTATATATTTAAATGTGATATTAATACATTTTAATTAAGAGCTTATGTTAAAAAAAAGGATAGATTCTCAACGAAAAAGATGAATACAATTTTATTTCCTAGAAAATGTCTCTTTCAGAAATCTCGTACCCCCTGGGTTGAATGCACCCCAGGTTAAGAAACATTGGTATAGAGAAACTGTAAAGCTATCAAGAAAGGTTTATAGAAAATCAAGAAAAGTGAGAAAAGATATTCTGTATAGGTTTAGTTTTTCAATACTCGTTTCTTTAACCTTTTAATAAATGAAATAATTAACAAATTATTATGTGAATATACACGTTTAGTGAAGGAATAAAATATTCTTTCAACTAATCTAAACGAAAATTGATATATAATAGCATAAAATAAAGGTCTATAATTTTTTTTTTTTCAAATTGCAGCCCAATTAATGATTTTATCGTTAAAATTATTTAATTATTTCATAGATTTTATATATATTTTAAAAATATTAATATTATATAACTTCATTGATTCTTTTTTTCCTAATATATTCTATTGCAAATAGTAAGAATTTCAATTGAATGTCTTGCGGTTCGTGACAAAATTATGATATAATCTATTCAAAGTACTGTACTGTATATCAAACATAAATTGTAAATAATTTTTTTTCTTATTTAATAGCATTATTTTATAAGAAGTTAGAAGAAAAATTATGTGGAACCACTTTCAACAAACATGACTACAGTTTTAGAATCGCATAACAACGATATATCTTTGAAGGGCCTGAATCCCATTCTTTCTTGCATTCATAATATTCAAGGTAAGCAATAATTACTAAAATAATTTGTAATAATAATTATAATTTAAGTTATATTTATAAAAAAATAATAATAATTTGTTATTACAATACAATTAACGAATTTTAGGCACGTATTAATTAATTAAATGATCTTTTAATACAGGGTTTTTTATAATTTAATTAACAGTTGTATAATTAACTAATTCTTTCACTCTTTAGACAGATTTCTTTCTACTAATATTGTATTTAATAATTTCGTGAAAGTACAGTGGTACCTCGTAACTTCCAATCCTAAATTCGGCAAAAATTCGTTTCGGAGTTCGAACGATCCTTTAAATTTCGAACTGTACCGTAGTGAAAAAACGTGCTCAAAGCGTGTCTCTCGCTCTCGTATTACGTTCATACGCTTTATTTTTGATGTGTTTGGTTACATATATTGTGTGTTATTCGTCGATTTTTAAACAATTTATTTTCTCAGTTTTCTTTCGTCGATAGGTTTTGGTCGTTCCATACGTTTTATTTCCTTTAAACGGAACTTTTTAAACCACATTTGACACGTTCGAAGTTTAGGAGCATCTTCTCCACACACATTACGAATTTTTTTTTTTTTTTAAATAAATTTCTAAAAAGGAAATCAGGACGAAATATACTTTTAAACCTTTTCCTTTTTCATCTTCACAGAAAAAATGATCCACATTGGCGGAGTCGACCTTTCTTTATAGGCTACTTCCCCGTCTAAAACTATTCAAATCGAGTAAAAAGTTCCGACAAGGAAGACGTCAATATTTTTTTATTTGTATTAATCTTTATTATTTGTACTTTTTACAATATGTTTAAAAGAATATTTTTTTTCTTTTACTGTTTGTATAGCGCTATATCTTTCCCGAAATTCATAAACATAATATTTCGGATATGCTTTTTATTTGAAGACATTTTCTACTTGATTTTACTCAAACAAAACGTGAAGTTAAAGTTTAAAATAAGCTTTAAACAAAGACTATAATCTCACATTATCGATAATGTGTTAAATTCACAACTGTTATAATTAAATCGCATATCTACGTGTGACGGCAGATGTTAAAAATACGCGAAAACTTTCTGTATAACGCAATGTACAGAAACAACCTTTCGCATGTCATCAGAGAAGTGTATGGAAGCAACAAAGTCTAAGAGAAAGTTTGTAATATCGACTATTGAAGCATGAAAGCGGTACAGGTGTGATGAATCGGGCGGCCATGTATAAGATACCGAAATCAACGATGTGCGACGAATTAATAGACTTACAATACTCATTTTATTATGCAGTAACTTACGTATTTTATTTATTGTTTTCGTGTTTTAATTTATTATTAGGGCATTTAATTGTGTTATTTTTATCTTAAATTACAGTATGTGTATTTACTGTTTTAAGTTTATCGAAACGGGTATTGTTTAGGGTCTGGAAATGGATTAATTCACTTTCCATTATTTTTAATGGGAAAAATTGATTCGGACTTCAAACGATTCGGAATTCGGACAGTTTCCTTGAATGAATTAAATTCGAAATACGAGGCATCAATGTAAATAAAAACATATAAAAGCAAGTATGGTGTTTTCCTAATGGTGCATTTTAAGAATTAAAAGGACAATCTCATCGCGTGCGGTTTCTAAATACTTTACTATAAGGACTATTAAATTTACTACAAGGTATTTTTGATTTATACAATTGTTATTGGAAAAAAGTAAAGAAAGAATGAAGATAATCTCAGGACAGGCGTAGATCCAGTCCCGGTCTTATTTGTAGGTGTCTTTGTTTTTAGTTTGGTTTGATAAGGCGAAGAAACATCAAGGCAATCTGCCAACAGAGGTACCTCCCAGGAGGATTTTCTGTGGGAAACTGGTTTCTGTTTAGGGTGTTAGACGTATGAAGAAAACCCGGAAAACTCCATGTGCCAGCCCATAGGTCAGGTGTGAACTAGTGTTCAATGGTTTTAGCAACTCGTGGATTTTAATACGAAATTTTTTATTAAGGAGGATATATAATCTCTTATCCTGAAGTGTATTCAGGAGAAGAGATCATATTTCTTCCTCAATCAAAATATTTAAATATATATATAAGAAATCTATGACAATTACTTAATGATTATTTATTCATGTAATTTTTCTACTGGTAATAGTTAAATAAATCAAGCGTACTTTATATAGTACAAGTCTCCCAAGATTTATATGCAAAAGTAATTTTACGCCCAAACATTTCCCTACGATAATACCTAGATAAGACACTGCTTTAGTACATTTTTACGAATTTCTTTCTTCGCGGTTAACTGACTTTTGGGCCACCCTGTGATGTTATTTATGGTAAACTTTTGAATCTGTTGATTTTCATTTAAATATATAAGTTATTTTATTTTTTAAATAATTTTAAATTGTAAATATCTTTTCATAACTAAAATGCATTTTTTTTTCTTTATTTAGATACACAAAATAACATACAGGAGAATAATTCGAAATATTTCAAGTCTCTCTCTTTAAAATATTTAAAAAATGAGCAGTGGTTAAAAAGTGAAGTGAGTATTATATATTTGTTGCAATTAAAGATTATATAAATTCTTATTTATATAAATTATAAACGATTATATACTATTTAAGAATTCAAGGATGATCAAAAATTAAATTTTTCGGGTTGAGCAAATTTGATTTTGTTTCATTTAATATTATAATGGCTTATTTTCAATTACTTGTATGTTTAAACAAAATATGCATAAGAAATGTTATATAATAAGAATTCATAAACTAATATACAAGGAATTCTAAATAAACTAATAATTAACAAGAACAATTATTTCATAATTAAGTTATACAATATATTTTTGAATTTCTCTATATAAAAATTTAGCTTATAACTATTCCTAAATAATAAAGACATCACAATAAAATTACTTGATTCTCGTGAATTTTTATTCTTATTTTATTACAGATTATTATAAAATTGCATATAACAAATCTTAATAATAAAGGATCTAATCAGATTCATTTCATTAGTAAAATATACTGGTACTTTGAAACCGTGCTAGTAGTTATTAGTAGTAATTCAAACACAAATAATAATCGTATTTATTTTCAGGCACTTGGCAATTCTTATCATCAACTGAATAAAAACTTGATGATAAGAATTGCCAAGTGCCTGAAAATAAATACGATAATTATTTGTGTTTGAATTACTACTAGTAAAATATAAATACGGTTGACCTCCTATAACACTGTTGATAATTTACTGTAATGCTGCTTAGCTCTTTAAAACAGTTGACCCCCTATAATACTGTTGATAATTCCATTTTATATGAATTCCATGTTGTACGAGTCACTTAGATTTTACAAATACGTGAGCCATTTACAGCCCGGCACACGTATTTGTTAAATCTAAGTGACTCGTACAACATGGAATTCATATAAAATGGAATTATCAACAGTATTATAGGGGGTCAACTGTTTTAAAGAGCTAAGCAGCATTACAGTAAAACTTCCATTTAAAGGACTTCAGATTTAACAGACAAAATTTCCGGTCTGGATATCATACGTGAAAATTAACACCCCTGTTAATTTTAAAATGCTTTTTATATGTAATTAAATTAACAGATTTTTTTTTCAAATCCAAGAATTGCTGCTCTTAAGAATATTATTTATTTGTTTAGTTAAATATAATTAGTGTATTTTCCAAAAAATGTTTGTTTATTTATTTCAATATAAGTCGTATATTGCAGTCTCGGTACTATGGTGAGCACATAAACAATAACATATGCAGAAAACTTTTTTATGAAATTAAATTTTCGTACATACATAATTTTTAATTACACAAACGTATAACCGACACTTCCTCACCTGAATTAGTTCGTTAAATCGATATTTTACTGTATTAATAATGTAAAATATTTGGAAATTCTTAAATAGTACGCATTAAATTTACTTATATGTAAATTAAGTACATCATTTTTTTTATCTTGGTGATTTTTATCACATTAAAATGAATGAAAATGAGAATTTCTGAATAGATTCAGTTTTTTTTAAAAATTGGCATGAGTTTTTTTCTTTTTCTATAAAACGGTTGCCGAAATATAAGCAATTGAAAAGGGCAAAAATCGCCAAAAAAGCTATATTTTCTTTTCTTCATCCTGCACTGTACACACTAGTAGAGAAAAACTACTTGGTCTAAAAAGCTCAAATTTTAAACTTAAACATTGATTGCACCACACTAATGAACTCTGCTTCTGTTCTCGAAAAAACAACACTACATTGTTTCCTGCTGCTCTAGCTTATGCCCTCCCCTGCTAAGGTATACACATATCCCATTGTGGATTTGGGATTGGTCAGATCACTTCTCCAGTCTGCATCTGTGTATCCTTGAAGTCAGTGCCATAACTAGCCATTCCTGTGCCCTGTGCAGGAATTTGTATTTAGGCCCCTTAATTAATTAGGTTTGGGAAAGTAATAAAACAAATACATGCATTTTGGGCCCCTCTTTCAAGCGGGCCCTGTGCGGGTGCACCTGTTGCACCTGCCTAGTTACGGCACTGCTTGAAGTGTTGTTTTTCCAGGTATGAAACCTACGAGTCTTTTTAAGATAACAGAGAACTTGTTTCGCACTTGTCGATTACTCCTTTGTAAAACTGGCTAAGGTTTGACGGCAAATACAATATCAGGCGTGATTGTGCATGCTAGATAAAACATTGATCCTACCACTTGTCTTTATGGCACATCATATACTTTGTTATCTTTTGTATGAAGTTTAAATTTGATTCCCGGTTCCATCAGTATTGATGTAGGCCTTGCATCTATCATCCCATAACATTTCAACATCTTGTCAATTAGATGTTAAAATAGTTCAATAGTCCCTTTTCCGGAACGTTCAGCTTTTATTGACAGAATAATTTTTGCCTTTCTAAGGTCTTTAACTTCGAATTTCCTGTTTATATTCTCATTCAACATTTGTAACTGTTATTTTCTGTACATGTTAAAAGGATATCATCGACTTGTATATCCATTATCAGTTATCGCTTTGTGTCAAAGTAAACACACGGATCCACCTTCGATTGGATTAGGCCAAGTGATTTGAGAAACAAGTCCATTCTTTTATTCCACTACTGACTTATATGCTTGAGTCCATAAATCCCTTTTTTTCACAGCAAACTTTGTCAGAATAGTACTGATTTTTCTCTCCTGTCTAGGATAGTTTAGTGTATATCTTTTCATCGAGATATTCAGTCAGATATGCATCTTTAATGTCGCAATATATGCACTATCCTTGATAGCTGCCAAGGCAGCAAGTATACTGTAAAGATTATTTTCTTGAACTTTACATGTGAAAACACCTCTGCATATTCAATGTTTTCAAGTTGTTGGCATCCTCTTTCTACGAGATGTGCTTTATACTCAATTATGTTACCACTGTCCTCTCTTTTTTGTTTAAAAACCCATCTTGAGGTAATAGTGTAGCATTTTGTTGGAAGATCAACAATTTCCCAAGTTTGCTTTTCTTCCAAATTTTAAAGTTCTTTTTCAATGGTTTCCCTCCGTTTTTCTGTATCATTTATGTGCATTGCCTCTTGTACTGTCATAGGCTCTTTATTTTGAGTTATGTTCAATTTGCATATTTTTCATTACAACATGAACTTAGTTGTTTTTCTTTCTTTATTCTCCAATCTTTTAGTTCTTGTTCTTCTCGAACTTGCTCAATAGCTTCTTAATATTCTGTGATCTTGAAGTTCCAGATCAATGTTGGCTTCACTTTCAATGTTACTTTCTCGCCTTGTCTCTGGACTGTCCACTTGTCTGCTTGTAGTTTTTTTGTCATCTATATCAACATAAACTTCAACTTCTGTTTTGGATTTTGTCTTTCGTACTCTTCGTTCATCTTAAAAAGAAACACTGTGTCTTCAAAGTAAAAACCACAACTTACCGTAATTTATCTGTAGTTCTGTCCTATACTTATATCTTTTTTCACCTTCAACATATCCAATGAAAAATCACTCTTTTGCACTATTGTCGAACTTTGACTTTCTTTTCACTTTCAGAATATGTTACTATCCTCGACATTCAAAAATTTGCAAGTCTTGCACTGGTGCCTTGCGCTGAAACTACTTCGTACAGTATTCAATTTTCGTTGTCTATTGTAATAATTCTATTTTTTATATAGTCGGTTGTGTTAATAGCGTCCGCCCACAATAAGCCTATCTTTGGTACAGTTTTCTTCGATCGTCACACATCTTGCCATTTGTGTAAGACTGGTTTAGACATTCACACTCTTCATTTTGTTCGGGTGTGCACGATGTTGTTTCTTCCGGTATTCCTGCATCACGTGTATATTTTTGCAGTTGGGTGCTGCAATATTCTGTGCCATTGTCTCTGTTTTTGTTATATTCTTCTATCAGTTTATATTTCGGTCTACCTCTTAAACTCAACGAACCTCTCACTTACTTCAGCTTTTGATTTTAGGAAATATATCCGTGCATACACAGTATCTACAAAAGTCATCAACAAAGTTATGTATATATTTTTCCTTGTCCTTTGACAAAGGTTTTACTGGTTCCATGACATCAGTGTGTATAAGCTGCAGTGACCCAGTTTTTTGTTTTCACTTTTGTCATGAGGTTTTCACTAACTTTTCCTTTCAGACACGTTGCACAGCTTTCAAGGTTCTTCTTGGTGACATCACCATCAAGATACTTTACGGCTTCATTAATTATCTTACGTCCTACATGACCTAATTTGAAATAGATTATGTTCATGTTCGTGTCTAGCTTTACTGTTTTCTCTGGACACGCTTCGTCATAGACTTTTCACTGTCTTCCACCACGTACAGTGGTGAAAAACTTCATCGTTTTAGTCCAATGCAGTCAAACGGTCATCTTTAAAATGCATCTAAACATTTTTCTCTGTTAAAGCACCAATATTCATTAAATTGTCTTCAAGTTCTGGTACATATAGTACATGATATACCTACTGTACTGTGCTGTAGTCTTACCTTAACAATAGCATTTTCATCTCGTAAATGTAATAAGACACTTTTGTATCCCTTGACTATGTTCACTCTCCCATTCGCTACTGATACTACAGATTCATTCAGAGCGAAATCATTGAATTTTTTTCTGTACAGTGACATATATTCATTTGCTCCACAGTATTCATACCATATCAGGTGTTGTGATATGTCTTTTGTACACATGGTGCGATACTCACTTGTCTAGTTGATATTTGACTTTGGATTCAAGGCTCGGTATACAGCTTTATTTGCTGCAACTTTAGAATAAGTCATTGGGTTATCATACTGTTTATTTTCATTACCTTTTATTCTTTCTTCGGTGTTGTTTTCTCTGGACGTGTTATGCCAGCGCTCTCGAGCATGTGACCAAGTTTTCCGTAGCAGTGACACTTTGCCTTTATCATTTTGCTCTTCTTGCTTCTGTGAAGTAGTCTTTAATACTTTCATTTCCAAATCTTTATTATTTTCTTCAATTTGTTTACGGCACTCTATCCGTTTCTCTTCAAGAAGTACTTTTATTACTACTTTTGCATCCAAATTATCTTCGTTTTGTACAAGTGTTTTCATTAGTTGGTCATACTCGGATGGTAAACCCATTAGTACGATAAGCCCCAATTCCTTTTCGAGAAATCCCATTCCAATATTATTTAACTAAGTAACAAGCGATGTTAATTAGTGATACACTACTGCTTTGGCTCTGAAAAGGCCATACAAGATAGTTATTGTTCGTTAACATGCTGATTCTATGAGAAAACAGTGCGAAAATGGAGCGAGTATCGCCACACAGCATAAAAAAATTTTTGACATCAGTGTCCAAACAACTTCCAAAATTATGTTTAAAAAAAGAGCTTGCCTTGTCCAACGCGGAACATGGAGAATAGGCAGTAATACTGGTTCAAGGTAAATACTGTACTGTTTTTTGGTCAGTAGAAGTTAATGCATTTATTTGTTACAGGCACTGATCGCTGTGCCTTAACTTGCTTGCAACCAAGATGGTGACCGGAACGGCAGTCGCTGTTGATTTTCACATTTGGAGGCGAATATTTGGCAAAGGGTCGCTTCTCTGAATTTTCTTTATTCTTTACCAATAACTATCGTTAGCTTGTCTGATCACCATGCTGGGTTCTCAGTTAAACACGCGATAGGTTTAGCGGAACACACAGTGTGACACTCTGCATTAGGGTTTCACTAACGGGATTGCGGGATCCTGGCTGTTTTCTTAACCCGGGAAATCCCGCAAATTTCTTAAAAGTTCACTTTTTTTTCTTATTTTGTATTAAAGTTGAGGGAATTTTGCAAATAGAAAGTATAATTAACCCATAAACTGTCAGAATACATTAGTATTTATTAATTTTAAACCTGTTTATTAGCCTATTTGTGGTAGAACTCCGAAAATTCTTTAGGCTACTTGTCGTAACCTGTAATACTGTATCTTGAATAATTGCGCTGATGCTGTCTTAATTAATATTACGATTTTGGAGGTTGCAGAACATATTCAATTACTTTAAAAATGAAAAAGAATTATATCATTCGATTTCAAGAGATTTTTTATATCTTAAAAAAAATAATAATTAATTATATCCCGGGAACAGTTCACTTTTTTCCCAAAATCCCGAGACAAGCAAAGGACCGGGAAATGAGAAACCCTACTCCATATATCGCTTGGAAGTAGGCTGTAGGCTAATTTCGGGAAGCTAAATCTTGCATAGGTCTATAGACCTATGGTTTCTTTGATATTATTGCATCACTTTAGGAAATTCTTATAAGTCAAAATCAAATTAGTAGTTGCATTAGTTTCAATCAAAACAGCAAAATGATAAGGATGCTCTTTATTTTTAAACCATTTTGATCAATTTACATAATTATTACGAGTATCCAACTCTGAAGTTTTTGTCTTACGCTTTGGTGTTGAGTTACATCTTATTAAAAAATCTCAAGATATTTTAATCTTATGTGGTTTGGCCAAACTGTATGATATTAAAAAAATATTCTTTCCAAAGATATCTTTCAAATGTGTTTTTTACTTTTCCCTTGTTGTGTACACATAACGAGGGAAAGAATTGGAATTTTGTCAAAGTATATAAGGGGAATTACTAAACACGTTTTCCTTATTAACTTTAAATTTTATTTCCTATTGTTGGATTCGATCCCGGGTTCCCGAGAACAATAGGCTGTGTCACCTTGACTACTCGGCCACACAGCCATCTATTTTTAACAACTGTCATCACTTAACGTAGATATGTAATTTAATTATAACAGTTGTGAATTTAACACATTATCGGATAATGTGAGATTGTAGTCTTTGTTTAAAGCTTATTTTAAACTGTAACATCACGCTTTTTTTTTTATTAAGTTGAAATGTCTTAAAATAAAAAGCATATCCGGAATATTATGCTTTATGAGTTTCGGCAAAGATATAACAACATACAAACAGATAAAAAAAAAATCATAATGTATATGGGGAAGATGATCCTAAACTTCGAACGTGTCAGAAATGGTTTAAAAAGTTCCGTTTAGGAAATTTTGAACTAAACGATACAAAACGTATGGAGCAACCAAAAGCTATGGACAAAGAAAAATTGTAGGAAGAAATTGTTAAAAATCGACGAATAATACATAATATATATAATTAAACACACCAGAAATAAAGCACTGTAAACATATAAGTGTAATGCAACAGTGAGAGATGTCTTGGGTGCACAACAGATGGCATTTATGCTTTGAACCCAATTTTTACTACATGTTCAGTTTGAATTTTGAAGCATCATTCAAACTCCAAAGCAAAATTTTCGTCAAATTTAGCAAAGTTACAGTTGTTTGAAGTACACTTTAAGATTTACCAGTTGTTTCAGTAGCTTCTCATTGACATAAAGTATATATGTGATTCTTGAAAGATACTGTATTATTGATTCTAGGATGCTTGGGTATCATGATTGTAAGGTGCTGTATTAGAATTGCAATAAAGATTTTAAGTGTTACTGAGGGAATTTGGAAAAATAAATTTTATTTAATAATATACCCTATTCCTCTAGTGATAGTCTCTCTTTATAGATTGTCCATGCAGTGTTCTATGAGCTTTTCATTTCAAAATTTTATGTATTGTCTGCCCTTGAATATTATTCGTGAGCTATATAGAAAGACCAGTTTTAATTTAAGTTTTTGCTTGTAGTCTGTGCTTATATTAATACATAGTTTGCACATCTTGATGAGACATGGCTTATCAGGATGTACATACTAGGGTCGACAGATAGTTCTCAGACTTGTTGCAAGAATAGGGTACTAATTGTTACATGAAGAAATGCAGAAAAGTAACCTCTTTTCAGTTATAAAAGAGTATAAGTGATGGAAGATCAATAATTCTGTGAGTGACTTTCTTACAGGATTAAATTATTTACATTTAATACTATATAGCAGTGCTATTCAATCTATGGGTTGACCCCAAATGGGGTCACAGAAAATTACCTTGGGATCGCACTGTTAAAATGTTTGAATACCATTGCTATATAGGATTCCTATAAAGCGCAGATTTAGTAGATTCAAACTGAATCAGTTTTAGTTTGTGTTCTATGTTCATTGTATTTTTTAAACTGAGAATAACCATAATCACTGAAGTTAGAATAATTTTAAGTAATGAGCTTAACAGTTAATCACTTCAATTAAAAATGAATTTTAATTTATTCTTATATCAGTAAACAAAATTTCTCTAATTAAATTTGGAGAAATTTTAGTCTTCCAACTACGTTATTGCTAACAAACAGAAAAACTTTTCGGATGAATCAACAATTCATCAATTAATTTATCCTTCATAGATAAGAATTCAACAACAATGATTTTATTAGTGTAGATTAAAAAGTTTGTTTAAATGATGAGTTGCATCATATACTGTGTTTAACTTAAGAAGTGGAAGATTTGTTTGAAATAGAATTTTAATTAATATGATGCTACTGCAACTTAAAGCTACAATTTCGTGCATTACTGTATGAGCAGTTCTTAACTACGGGATTTTATTTTAGTTATTTTGTAATAAATATCACTTATAACTATAGTCACCCTCCTTTGTTGAATGTGAAAGTTGAAAACTTATTAATAATTACACATATTAAAATAAAGAATGAGCTTAAATTTGACTTTGAATTTTCAATTAGAGGTAGATAGAATCATGCTATAAAAATGATACAGTTTATTCATATTCATATTTATATCAGATGCTTATCTGTAGATATAAATTATTTAGTTATTTATTTTTATTATATATAATAATTTCTTTTTTATATGTAGCATTTAAAAATTTTTAAATTTCAATTTTTATTATTAAAATCAGGAAGGATTTTGCTTGGCAATATCTCTTCAAGATGGAACTACACTGTATGTCACAAGTTCAGTTAAGACAATTCTGGGCTATCCCGAGGTAACAAGAACTATATTTAATTGTTCATCAATTTAATTTCTATTAAAAAGTTTATAACATCAGTTTTAAACTGTATTTTAGAATGTTTTAGTTGGTGAATGTATAATGAAATTTTTATATCCACCTGATTGTATTGCTTTTGCTGAGCATCTGACTCAAGGTCTTAATCACTGCTTCACAGAGAATGAAAATGGTATAATTTATAAATTTAAATAGACTATAAATATGTGTATATAATAATTATAATAATAATCCTGAGCAATACATGTTTTTTATTAATAAAATTTAAATTATTACATCATAAATTTAAAATTTTTATTTATTCTTGCATTTATTTAGTTATAAAATCGCAAAACAATAATGACAAGTTTACACAAAAAAATTTATATCTGTTGTTTTGACTTTGTTATAATTATTTAGGTAGAATAAAATTAAATTAGAACATCTTCAAACCACAAAACTATTTCAAAATATAATTAAACATTTAGAGGAAACAAAATTAATAAAAGTGTTAACAGATTTTTTTTCATTATTATGAACTCCTGCAAAATATTAAAATAGAATTCTAGAAATTTTGCTGATAAATGCCAAAGTCCATTATATATTCAGCATTACATTACACAAGATTATAAATATTAAAATCTGTCATAATTGTCAACTGCTTTATGAAAGTCAGCAAGCATAGATTGGATGTTCAGAAACATACACAGAAATCAATTTATAAATTTATTGAAAGGTATTTTATTTCAACTGGTTAAAAGTAAAAATCAAGAAAATGTATAAATGAATTTTTGTAAGGTGTTGGGACTGAAAAATTAAATGTATAAATGAAAACAGGAATAAGCAAAAAGTAAATAAATGAAACACACATTAGATTATATGAGATATTAAATATCTTTTGTAAATATTAACTTTTTTTTTTTTATGTAGAAAGTAATAAAAGATAATTCTTTTAAACATAAAACAACTTTAATTATAACTCCAGAATTTTCAGTCAAGTCAATTTAAATAAAAAAGATAATGTTTGCTTCAAAAGAATTGGCTAATTTCTCCAGCATGGTGAGGGATGGGACCTGATATATCTGGGATAGACCACCCCCAAAAAATTCCTGGAAATTTTTTTTATTTGTTTCTTGTTAAAGATTTGTGGGCTTTATGGTGATGTATTAGATGAACAAAATTACCATAGATAATAATAACTGTGGCCGTATGCCTTATTTTATGTATATATTTTTAATACCAAAAGCGCTCAGCAACTAAATAATAATAAAGAAAACACCTTTTTTTGCCGAGAAATAAATATAATTTGCAAAAACAAACGTTTTCAGCCTAGTTAATAGGCCATCTTCAGGTCGAAAAAATGGAACGCAAATGTTCCATAAATAGAACATAAAAATATTTAAATCAAAAAANATTTCTGTTTTAATTAATTAATTTATTTATTTGTTTATTTATTCTTCCGTTATTTTTTACTTGTAAAATTTTTTGATTTAAATATTTTTATGTTCTATTTATGGAACATTTGCGTTCCATTTTTTCGACCTGAAGATGGCCTATTAACTAGGCTGAAAACGTTTGTTTTTGCAAATTATATTTATTTCTCGGCAAAAAAAGGTGTTTTCTTTATTAGTATATATTTTTATTTGTATTTCCTTCGTTTCCTTTCTTTTTCTTTCTTCCTTTGTCTATCACCTTCTAGAAAATTCTTCCCTAATCCTTTCCTGGTAAGGTGGTGGTGACCTACTTTCAAGAACAAAGAAGAGGCGAAAAAGCCTGAGGGCGAAAAAGGGAACTCGAACTCACTTTCTGGCTCAGACGTCGTAGAACTAAGACGTGCGAAGAAGACCTCCCGGTTGTTCTGACAGCAACGGTAGGACAACGGAGACGAGAAGTTAGCGATCGGAAGGAGTCAGAACACATACATCGGTATAAGAATCTCCAAAAGCTTGTTAAGAAAGCCTGGGTCATTCTTTTCGACGTACTGTCTACGAGATTTCACCATTAGGCCATCACCACCAGCAGTCCAAGATCATCGGCACTGGGTACCCATTCTTTCCTATTATATCTATCCTATTGTCTATCTTTTCTTCCTCCCCTTTTTTTTTTTTTTTTATTAGTATAAGTAGTTTTTAAGTATTAGTCATAGTTTCACTTTTTGCTTTGTACCGCGGTAAAACATTTTGTTACGAGAGAAAAACTTAACTTCCGAAAATTGTAAAAATGATCAATATAAGGAGCGTCGGAATCTCAAAAAAAGAATCCTGTAAAAACGAGGAAAGTAAACACTGGTGAAAAGGGAATATTTATGTGTATTGTTTTCTTAACTTCTCCCTGGAAGTGTAATCACCACGTGTATATCTTACATAACTTTGTAGTTGTATCTGGATGACGGGTTTTTATTTTTTCAAAGAACCCCCTCTCATTAGTCCATTTCCACTAACCCTTAAACATGTACTTGGCAACACCCATACTACCTATGCATACTGACTAATAGCAAAAATTAGAAAGAAACAATTATGTACAGGAAAAACAAAAGGTCTAGTAGGAATTTTTCTACAATAGTACAGTGAGTGAAACTGTGATATAATGATCTCATATATAATGATTTTATTGTATCATTAAAGCACTCTTTCATTTATTTCTTATGTAATGGAGTTTGTGGATTTTTTCTAGATTTTACTTATGTGCAGGATTTTAAAAAGACTCATTATTTTTTCATAATATAGCTTATACTTTTTGTATTATTTTTTTATACTTAATTTTTTAATTCTTTCCAAGTGGAGAGTTAAACTCCCAAAAATATTCCCATGTGCATGATCTCACTTGTATCTATAATGACATATAATTACAGTACTTAAAATAAAAATTGTTATATAATCATGTTGTTTTATCTTCTAAGTAATGTATTAATAATAATTAAAAATTTATTTAAGCATAATTTATATTTATCTTCAATTGATAATGAATGATACTTCATATGGGAGTAAAAATTCTTTTATACAGATGCAATAATTTGTATTTGAACATTAATATTTTTATATTTTACAAACTTTATTATTGTAGTTAATAGCATTTCATGAAATTTATATCTTTGAACAACTTTAACATAGCTTTTATACCAAATATATATACAGGGTAATTCTGAAATAAGTGTGCATATTCTGAGGAACATTAGAGTAACTACAAAGAAAATTTTTTGCCAATAAACTAGATGACACAGATAACTGCATCAGACCACAGGTAGCTGCAGTTTTGGAATTGCACATTGGTCACTCACTGGATTCAGTCCTGCCACATCTTATATTTATTGTTGTTATGCAATATGGTACTGGCAAGTGGCTGGTAGGAAATTATGCACACAGCAGTTTACATGAGATAAGCTTGCCAACATACACTTGGCACTAGAGACAACTGACACTAACTGTACCATGAACAATTTCAAGAGAGGTAGCTGCCCAAACTTTACACATTTCTCACCAGTGGCACACTCAGGATTTACTTGGGGGAGCTGAGTTGAATGGATAAAAAATTTTTAATGTAAATTCAATAAAATTCCCACCTTATGTGATCACTAATCCATAAATAGTATAGAAAGAGAAGACACCAATAAGTAAAATAAAAAAATGAATTTTAATTACAAAAATATTTTTGGAAAATTTTCTACTGTTTGCTTTTTTTTTTTTTGGAGGGGGCCAGGGCTCCTTGGCCCCTTATGTGTGCCACTGTTTCTCACTTTGGATCCAATGTTGATAGAGAAGGGAACACTGCATGGGAATTGTAATGAACAAAATGAATGGTGGACACTTTAAACAAATGTTGTGATTTCTGTACATATTACCATTGTGTCCATAAATTATTGCAGCCTCATTGCTGCATTTTATGTGTACTCCTTGCTTCCTGTACCACTGATAGTGCCAAAACAACAGACTGCACAATGCCACCTACGTACCTCCTGAGAGTGATACTAATTGTCATTTTTTTGATGTAACAATGTGTCTATGGCATCTAGTGTATTGGCTAAAAATGTTTGTATTTAGTTCTTCTAATGTTTACCAGAATATGCACACTTATTTCAGAATAACCTTGTGCATGTACACAGTGAAGTGTCAAATCTGTAGCATCAAAACTTCAGATTCTGTTGTCAATAAATGGACATTAATCTTTTCAATGGTAACTTTGTTACTGGGCTGCAATTTGAAAAAATTGTAGACCTATAAATTCCCACTCTTGTCTGTCTGTCTGTCCTTCATTATCTCAAGAATAGTGTTAGATAGATGAAATTCAAGACCAGATATGGAAAGCTTAGGGCAGGAAGTCCAGACTGTTTATGAACTTCTGATGTAAACCAAAAGTCACATTATTTCATTTCAAAAATTTCCTCTGAAAAGAGTTAGATTGGCATGACTCTATTTCTAACAGAAAAAGTATGGTGTACAAGGACAAGATGCTACTGATTTAAGGTGGAGAGCATATATTTTAAATTAAATTATTTAAAAATATGATTAAAAATTGCAGCTTGGCATTGTGACAATATCACAATAAATAATTGCTTGTTATTGTTCTAACATTCATTCAGAATTCCTAATTTGTTTAATTTTGAAATTATGATTAGTATATTTTTTTGTTTAAATATAGTAATTTTATAAATTATACTATATTTGAAATCCTTGTAAGTATTTTTACATTCTATGTGAAATACTGGCTTGAACTTAGACCTATACTTGAATTATAGTATATTTGGAATTTACAGTATTTAAAATGCTAATTTACATGCATATTTGAAAATCCAGATAGGTCTGGCCCAATTAGGCTGGATTTTTGATGCTTCACTTTATACATACACACAAAAATAAAGTGAACTATTCCCATAAGTTGAAAATTACTAAAGTCAGGAGAATTGGACTAATTATAGCAGACATAATTGTCATTAGAACATTTGTTTACACACCCCTCATTGGACTAATTGTAGCAGACATAATTGTCATTAGAACATTTGTTTACACACCCCTCCTACCTACCTGCCTTTTTTTTAATTATGTTTATGTTTACTTTACTTGAAATGGTGCAAATTATCAAAAATTACCTCAGAATGGTACATGGGGTCACAAAAGCATCCTTTGTGACCCCATGTACCATTGAATTTCGGTGAGAAACCCTCATACAACCCTATAATATAGAATCTCCATACACTTGCCGAGGACATGTATAATTGTTATGCAACCATAGTTAGTCTGATTCCCATAATTAGTCATTTGAAAATTATGGATTATGGGACTGGTTCACTTTATTTGTAACATCTTGTATATGATTTTTAAGAATTTCTATTATTGAAATTATTCTAAATTGTATGAACTATATACTGTACTGGGTGATCATAATTAAAGAGTAGGTGTTCAGACAATAGCAGATGAAAGGGGGTTACAGGGGCTTAAGTCCTCTGTCTCATTTAAAATTTGAACAAAATTTATTTTTTCAAATTTCAAAATGTTGTTTTTAAAAGCATTTACGACAATAAATATGGTTTATCAGACCATCCACAATACAATCATCATAAACATGCATTAATATAGGAGAGTTACTAATACACTGCTGGCCTTTAAAAGTGCCACATCAGGAAGGAAAGCAAGTAGCAGAATCATATTTATTGTACACTACAGTATAATGAGAGGAAGATATGATTAAATTGACAGATAATTTGAAGTACACAGCATGCAGAAATCAGTACCCAAAGCAGCTGTCCAAGCAGAAAAAAACAGCTGTAATTAGGGTGGCCATCACCCAATGCCTAAAAAGGAGGAAACTGTTGGGGGTAACCCCCACACATCCTGTTGATCCCATGCTTTCCTTTTTTTATACATACATGTATAAATAAAAAATGGAAAAATAAATTTATGAAATGTTCAATAATCAGTGGTAATATTAAATGTCGAAAACCATACATGAAATAACAAATGGAAACAATGTAAGAAATGTTGAGAAAGAAAAAAAACATTCAGTATTTTATTAAAAAAAACAAAAGAAAAACAAAACAAAACTGAGGACATGGCTGTCTACTTTTTATATTTCTGTCTTTTGCTTGCCATTTCCAGTAGTTTGTTGTTGACAAGAAGTGTTTTATACATAACTGGAAATCATTCTGCCGAAGTCTGAAAATGATTGGTTAGACCTTTCATTTCTGCCTGCCCTCATCCAATAAACATTTGTGACCAATTTGTAAACATTTGTAAAATTTGGCCTCTTAGCGAAGAAAATGGCCAAAGTGCCACTAGATCAAAGTGGTGTGGGCAACCTGGAAATGCTAACCATCTTCCTCAATTTATTTGAAGTGACAACTGAACTATTTTTGTACACATTTTTTTACATCCCAAAAAGAAGGAAAAATTGATGTCTGGCGCAAGGTGATTCTGTATGGCAGACAGAGTAGTCAAATGCCTGACAATCCGGCAAAAAGCCGGACATCTGGTCACCTTAACTGTAATCCACCTGGGTATCGAGTCAGAGTTTGTATGGCAGGTACATGTGTGGCAGGCCATGTGGCTTCAACTCTATGCCAGAGTTCATCTGTTGTACTAGCTGGTGAGTGGTGCAGTTTCTGGCAACCATTGACCAGATATTTTCAATTGGTGACAGATCTGGAGAACATGTTGGCCAGGGCAACAGTCAAACACCCTGTATTTGACAGCATGGGCAACATGCAGTCGTGCATTGTCCTGTTGAAAGGTACAAAGATAGGGCACTGTGACGAACCTTAAAACATCAGAAATGTAACATCAGCTGTCCAAATAACTGGCTCTGCAAACAAGAGGTGCACTCAATGGCACCTCACACCATCACTCCAGGTGCTGGGCCCGCATGATGATGATGATGATGATGAATGCAAACTGGCAATGATCATTCCCCTCAGTGCCTCCATATATGGATATAGCCATCATGATGCTGTGTGCAGAACTAGGCTTCATCTGAAAAGATGATGTGATGCCACTCCTTGTCCAAATTCATCATTGAACACACCATTATAGGTATGCCTGTCTCTATGTGACTATGGTCACTATGCTGATAATCCGTGGTGCTGCAGATGACACTGCACTGTCTGCACAAACACTTGTTCTGAAAACAACCCAAGTTCCTGACTTAGGGTATATGACATGAATGTACAATCCTGCAAGTCCATGCAGACAAGATATCTGTCCTTTTAGGCATTAGTGATCAGGGGCCACTGAGATCCCGCACAGCATTCTCTATGGCCTTCCTGGACCCATTGATTCCATATTCTAGTGACAGTCATGGGATCAAGAACCAACTCAAGCAGCTATAGTGCAGAACGATAAACTGTGGTCCCAGTAGGTTACAGTTCTATCATGATCAAACTCTTATACGTACTGGTAGATGTTCTTCCTCCTTACATGAGGCATGCAAAACCTTTACATAAGCAATCAATGTGCAAATGTGATTTCTGTATGAGAAACCCACTTTACATTCTTCCCTTTTATACAGACTGTAGATGGCCTTACTCTTACCTGCTTTGAGAGCATGCATTGAAATACTAATCATTTGCATATCCCAGCATATTGTACTTTTCATGCAAATTTCATGTTTGTTGTGTGCCACCTTTGTGGTATAGCAATTTCAATTTTAATGATCTGAACAGATATTTTTCATTTTTGAGTTAGCTCTTTCCTTGGATACTTCTTCAGCCTCTCTGTAGGAAGAACTATTGATTAAATCTCAACCAATAGTTCTTTCTACAAAGAGCTCTGAGCATCTCTTTAAAGGGAAATCAAAATAAAAAGCTCTTTAGTTGTGATTGCCCTGTACTATATCACTGCTGTTTTGTTTTTGGTAACAAATGTAAGCAGCTAATGATGGCATTATATATTATTTATGCTATGATATTAATGCCAAACAATTGCTGGATAAAATTGAGCTACATTACTGTTCCTATTAATAAATAAATACATATTTAATTATTAATAGTAGTGATATTGTAGACCAATTTAATCTGGCAATTGTTTGACTTTAATATGATATTAACATTATTAATCACATTTTTTATTTTTATTAGGAAATGTTACACAAACTCCATATACCTTTTATTGTAGAATTCGGTAAGTTTGCTTTTTATAATCTGTATAATAAGAAGTTATACTATAGTACAATTTCTGATTAATTAAATTACCTGTAGAATAAAATTTGATTTTAATTTTTATAATTGATATCAAGAGAGATTAAACATTACATAATGTAAATATTTATGTAAAACTTTATTTCTACCAAGTAATTTTACTTACTAATTAAGTTAAATTATATAATTTGCTTTGAGAGATTTGATAGCATTCACATTATATATAAAATATGCAAAGCAAATAATAAAAGTTCAATGTTAAATAATACTTGTAGTTGCATTACAATTAGTTAAAAATTGAAATTCAGATTTTAACTTGTAAGAAAATGAAGTTTTACTACAAGTTATGCTTGAGTAGTAATTTGATAAAAGAAATACAATAGATGCTCCAATTTAAACTCCTTTGTTATGTAAGCAAATACTGATACCTTGGGGGAAGCAACTTACTGCTTGTGTTGAAATGGTAGAATCTCTTGATTCTGTTGGGTAGATATCAGGATGATGCAAGAGGTTAAAGTGAAATATTGGGTAATGGTGGCAGACACTGAGACAAAACTCCATTTTTACAAAAATATCCTGTTTTATGAAAGAACAAATAAAGAAACACTTATGAATAGTTCTCAAAAATGGACACTTTCTTCCCCAAGCCTATTGGAGTGTTTAATTGCAACTTCTTGAATGATAGCTCAGTAATTGCAGAAATGTGTTTTCCTTCGTAAATCCAAGAGAATGTAGCTGTAGTTAAGAGGTTTCAACTGCATCCTTGCTGTAATTCCAGTGTAATAAACACTTTCCCTTTATTTTTCTTACATATGTCATGATAAAAGATCGAAATCTCTCATTTATGAATTTCACTTTTCCCATTTTCTAACTTACCTGAATCTATATCTCACTTAACAACACATTTCTTTTCATTTTTGCACCTTTTGAAACAAAGAGAATCTTTTATGTTACTTTCCTTCTCAACAGTAAACTAAGAGAAAAATAAAAGTATAAGAAGTGAAGTGTTTGGACTCAGATTTTTGACTGGTAGAAATATTTTATGATGATTTATGAAATGTTATATATGAAATGTCATTTTTTCTTAGCCAACTCACTTTGAGATTGAGTCTGGGAAATCAGAGCTATTCTATTTCTGACAGTTCACTTATATTTAGTTTGCCAGATTTTCACGATGTTAAACAATAACAGGTGATGGAAGCACCCCTCATCTCCACCATTACAATTCAACATACTTAAATTTCCTCATATCTGGAAAAATATTATTGTTATCATTATTAACCAAAACATGTAAAGTAAGGTGTTACTTAAATTAACAAAGAGTGGGGACAGGCATTTAAATAACAATGTACTCATTAGGACAAAACAGGTTATATTTATTAACCACTAGCTGTTACCCGTGACTTTGCCTGTGTGGATTTTGCAAGCAAACTCCATTTATATTCAGTATTTCAACAACCATAGTAATTGTTATATAAACCTTCTGCTGAGAATGATGAGAATTGCTGAGAATCAAATGAACTGTTTTCAATTTGATCAATTTTCTGGAACATTTACAATCATTCTGTAATTGAACCAATATAAACCACAACTATACCCAGCAGAAAATAATTAAATATGTAGTCAACACCTTATCCTTCTCTGAGAGGTTATTTTTATTAAAACAAATGTTTTCGATCCATTCATTGGATTATCTTCAGGTTAAATAGAACACTTCATAAATAGAACAACACGTTTAAATATTCAAAAATACAAATAAACCGATAACATAAAAATAAATAATACTTGTAAATAATATAAATATTCAAAATAAATAACATAATATCAATACTAAATATTAATACCGTCTGCCTACCTGAAAACGTTTGTTTTAATAAAAATAACCTCTCAGCAAAGGATAAGGGTGTTGATTACATATTTAATTGAACCAATATGCAATAAAATTTAAAACAGTTCAAACATTTGGCTAAAAAATCGAAATATATAAAAATATTTATAACAATGTCTGAAATGTTATCAATTTAATACACCTAAGTACTCAATGAAGACTAAACATAGTTGAAAAAAAAAAATTGCATTTAAAATAGTACAGTAGAAGCCATTCTCAGATTAAGACTTAATCCTCTTCCCCCCGCAAGGGGAATTTCAAAGAATCCCTTCTTAGTGTGCATTAGAAGTTGGAAATTTCCCCCAGGGGGAATTTCTTGAATGATAGCTCATGGTACGTCACGTAAACCATGTACTGTACATGATAGTAGGGTACATTGTGTAAAGTATTATATTATTTTTCCGCCCTCTACAACGATTATCAACACGACTGTGTGCCGGAAATAGCTGTTACATAATGGGTACTTTACATGGATTCGCGTTAGTGTGCCAGGCCTGGACTTTAAGCATGCACCGAATTAAATAATGACAAAGTTAGTCAATAACAATCCAATATTTAATAAAATTTCAAGTAATGACTATATACAAAATTTAGTAAAAATCAAATAACAATTTATTCAATGAAAATCAATAAGAATCAACCCGACAAAACTCAATCAATCTATTTTCTAGTTTAACTCCATTCCCCTTTGGATTTCGACAAAATTCAAAGACTTGACTTATGTACAATAATTCTTATAAATTAAAGGTCCTAATAGTCACCTCAATATACTAGGAACCTTTTTTCTCAACTCTCAAGACTTTCTCTAATCTTCGATCCACAAATCGAATAACTTCATAAATCGCCTTAGAACTACTTTATCCTATCAGACACCTCTCTCTCGTTTACTGCTATGAAGCTCATCACGCTCGTTGCTAACAGAAGTTCACCTTGACCATCTTCACTTGAGGTTCGGACTTTATACTGTGAGGTGATGTCACAATTCTGATAGCGATTACTCCCCTCATTTACATACTTATTTGCTAACAAACTTTTTCTGTTTGTCTGGCAGCCTATTTTCCGACAATAATTGCTAACCTTTTACATTATTATTTTTGACAATTTTCGGGATGTTTTATTCTTTTAAGGTTTAACAAGTTTCCTAAGTTGTGCTTGTGGAGTCTCCCCCCTTTTTCTCGGTGCGGACGTACCTTTCTCCGCTCGGGAGCACAAATGTGCGTGAATTTTAACTACGGCGCTTTTCTCTAGTCAGTGAGTTGGTTTCTCTTCTATTTTTAAGTTTCTAAGGTGACTGGTGAGGAAACCTTCATCCTAACAAAACATAAGCCCCAAACAAAATTAGAATAAAAGCAAAAATAAAAGTAATGCTCGGACTTGGTTCCTTACAATCATGAAAACCACATTTTCATGACGTACCCTAACTGTTTACCAAATTTCACCTCTTTAAGTTCAGCGGTTTGCTCTGGGCAATGATGAATCAATCAATCAAGTGATTGATTGATTCATCATTGATTGACTGATGAATCAATCAATCAAGTGATTGATTGATTCATCAGTCAGTCACTCAATTGTCAGTCAGTCAGTCTCAGTCAGGACAAGTAATTTATATATTTAGATGTTAAACATTTTTAGGCCGTTTTTAATTTTTATTTCCTATTTTTTTGAATTAAGTGAAGAGTGTGTTTTTTTTAAGATTATTTTAGATTAAAATATTCAAGCTGGAACGAACTTCAACACAGTAATAACAATATCTTAACTCACTATTCCAGCAATGTTTTACTCTTCCAACAAATGTTTTTGGCTCACTTCATAAGCCTGCCTCAGGTCTGTTTTAGTTTAAAGTTCAAAATTCCAAATTAAAATGTTAACCATTCTATGCTCATTGTTCTTATAAATTTTAAATATAACTGGTGGAGCATGTGGTTTCTATATAGTTTTGTGTACTTTAACATTGTGTATGATAGTTCATATTGATAATATATGGCTACTTTGTTAAGTTGTTTCCTGCGGTTTATTGTAAAATTATAACCGAGCAGCAGATAAGGATTCACAATCATTGTAATTTATATAATTTCCTTTTAAAGTGGCTTTATATATATCCAGTATTTCTAAAATTCTAAGGTGTTTCTCATTGTAGACTTGTTTTAAAAATTTGGCTTCTTCCAGATTTGCAACCGTCATGGGCTCTATGGCATAACTGGCTAATGCATTTACTGGCTTGTTGTGGTCTATGTTATATTTATGTTTCTTGAGTCTATAGCAGTATTTTTCAACCTTTTGTATCGCACAGCACACTTGAACCTATAATTAAATTTCTGTGGAAAAAAATCATGATTTAAAGTTGCATTTGTAAATATTCTATTGCCATGTTACTTGCTACTTAACCTAATTCTTTTTGTCTACATTTTTTTGTAAATTACATAAAACAATATTGTTGTTCCTTAAAATAGCAGCAGGTTACAACAATGGTTATATATATTAATAATTTTCATTTACATAAGAAAAGCAATTAAATTAAGTCTTAATTTGCATTTAAAAGTGGCAGGATGATTGCCTTCAGAAACCTGCCCAATGTACTGTACCTCTATTTCTACATTAAACTAAATATGGACAATTATATATACAGTTTTGATTTAAAGAAAGTTTTATTTTAAATGGAATAAACCGAGAGTTATGCACATATAATTTTTTTATGAATATATATTTTTTACTACATTATGTATATGATTACTTATTATAACAATTAAAAACTTGTATAATCAGTTTGAAGAGGTTTTAATTTTGACATGTACACTTATTTGTTCTTTGGGCTTCTTTTGAAAATATTGATAATTTATTTAATAACCTTCAAAAATTTTCACAACACACCAGTTGAAAATCACTGATCTCTAGGATAATGGTGGTGGTATAAGTTAACAGTCAGTTGAATCTTTTATCCATGATTGGGATTGAATAAATTTCTGGTACCCTATTAATATTATTATTGTCTTTACCATTACACAACAACTTGTATACAGTGGGATTTCAGTGATAGCATATCCTGGCTTTTAAATAAGGCAATTCTCTGATAAATTGAATTCAGTTGTGGATTGAAA